CAAAGGGAAACTGCTCAGCAGAGAGAGGATATGCAACCCCCCCCCAACACACACACAGAGCAGAGACCCCCCACCCAGCGTGACAGTGTCACCCACGGAGTCACCGTGTCACCCTCATGGCAAATAACACACATATGATCATATCACCGGAAGGTCTGTAAACCTGAGCTAGACTGATAGCCAGATTCAGTGAATCTGCACTGTGGACAGAGGTGTTACTGCAGAATGCGTCTCGACATGTGAGAATGTGGTTTCCATGTGAGACGGTGTGGCCTGATTTTAGCACTGATGGTGCCAGCAGCATGAATGTTGGTGTGGATGCATTTAGCTGTAAGCCTCAGCACACCAAGCAGTGCATGTCAAAGGTAATTTTATTGGAATATTCTCGTTGAATAATCTAAGACTAAATAGTGAATCGTTTCCTGTTAGGGAGTGAAAATGACATTTCTGTGGTGTGGAACTTCTCTTGGCATCCTGAGTGACTGAAATCGACATTTCTCCCTGGGGCACATGCCACTTATTCTGCTCTGCCCCTTGCAGAGGGCCTCCGGAAATGCCTCATGTTTCTGTGCATATTAGTGTCCTGCACCTTTATCGCAGAGTTAGATGGCCATTACATGTGCACTGCTAAATTTTCTTTTTTTCCTACTGAAAATCCAGTTACACATTTATAAGACCTTGTGTTTCCATGCTCGCTCCCATTTCCTGTAAAGGAAAAGGGAAATTAGCAAACAAAACAAAGAAAATTACTTTATCCTCTAGGCTTTTCCACTGAGACATAGTGGCACCCCCTGCCTTCCTGCCCTTCCTGTTTTTTCCCTAGTGGGGCTCTAACAAGCCACGCCTGCTATGTGTTGGTCATACCTCTTGTTCTTGCTCTTCTGTGATTCTCTCCAGCTGCCTCTCGTTGCGCTCACTTGTTAGTCCTCTGTATTTAAGTGCATCTTGTTTTATACTCCCTAGTCATGTCATTAACATCATCCTGTATGTATGCCTGTGCTTTCCCCAGTACCAGCATTTCCGTTTTGACCCCTTGAGGTATGTTTCCAGTTTAAATAAAATCCATTTATTTGATCCCTATGTCTGCTTTCGACTCCCTTGCTTCCCGAACGTGACACATAGACTCTAAAAATAAGCTCATGATTAGCATCAACATCCAAAGCGAACACATGTGTCCATAGGAAGGAGGAGGTATGGGGAGAAAACGCTGGAAGGTAATTAAGATGCAGTAAGACGATGAGAGAGACTCAGAGAAAAGCATATTTCTGCACACAGGGGTCAAGGCTAAACCTCAGATTTAGGGTATATGAAGATGATGCTTGCTGGCATAACAGGAAGCAACTGAAGTATCAGATCAGGGTGGGAGAGGTAGAGATGTGTTTACATTACATTACATTAATTTAGCTGGTGATTTTATTTATTGATATTAGTGGAGTACAGGAGGACCCGGTACTGATCCCTGAGGGTCTCCACAAGAAAGGGTTTGAGTCTTAGAGAGAAATGCACTGGACTACGAGGCACAGAAAGGTAGTGCAGTTCCATTCAATCCTGACTTGGCCGTGGAGGTTTATCTGACAATTTACTTTGTTTGCTGAATGCTGTGGTTTATTTCTACAGATAGAAGGGTAGAATGGAAACTGTATGTGGAAAGAAGAGGTGAGATAGAGGAATAATTGGTCACCTGATAAAGGGGGAGGAGTTATGAGATATCTGCGTCAGTGGGTAAAATCAATGACGTGGTGGAAAGGAGACAGGATGGAAGAGATTTCAAGATGATATAATGTCAGGGAATTACATTCTCAAATTATATTTAATAATCCACAATTAGTTTTTAAATTATAATTCTTGTCTAATAGGCCAATTGCCATATTTTGCAATATTTAGAAGGAATAAGTAAAAAGATTGTCAGCGATATTACACTAATATGACCACAGTTTCACGTGTGATATTGTGCGCAAACTAACAAACAAAACTGAAACCTAGAATCCAGCCAGCAAACTTCTTTGGGAACTACTGAAAAGTTTTATCGTAAAGTTTGCCTTGTTAGTCAGAGGTGTCTCCCTGCGGCTCTGCATGTAACCCATTACGAGGCGCGTTCACATGTCTTCTGCTTCCTGTCAGTGCGAGCGGCGCTTTATCGCCGACAAGCAGAAGCGGAACGTAATAACGCTCATTCGCGCGATATGCAATTTTATTCTGCTATTTATTTTGCCACGGATTTTTCCCTTTACTTGTGGTTTATGGATGTGTGTAATGTTGCGTAATGCTGTAGCCTGGATTAACAGTGGTATCATTGTCTAATGAGGCAAAAAAGGGCACAATGCCTTTTCATAAAGAAATTTGCAGCTTAATGGTAATACATTTAAAAATAGCGTTTTAATAGGCTGTCTATAGCATTTTGTAATATTTAATCTGAAATGAAGACATCCTACCAAAGAAGCGGTCTGTCGCTGTTTGCGTTTTGTTTGATAGGTAAGTTAAATGTTGTTCTTTCATGCTCGATTCTTTGGAAATAGCTTGTGACTGTGAGTTAAGTCGGTTTAGTATTTTGCAAAAAAAGTTTTATTTCAGTTGCTGATAGTAAATAAGAAATAAACTATTGTAAATAATCCAAAATATAGACTTTACACAATCTGATAACTACAGTTTACAGAGTAATTAACTGTGAATGAGATATGCTTGTCTGATGATATTGAAATGTAATTATTATATTACATAACAGTACGTTCTGATTATTATTGTTATAAATTGTCTCCATAGCTAAACTGAAATCCCATACGAATGATGAGCTTTTTGCTGTATTTGCAGGTTGCTCAGTTGCGCAGAGGGTTTAATGTCTTTGCCCGAGTTTACAGTTTTATAAGTCTGTCTGTCTGTTAAGTCTTTTTTTACTGCGCCGTTCCTCCTGGAGCTTGGGGAAGGTGCTACATCCCAGCAAATATCCCGAGTTCATCATGTATCACACGTTTGTCGGAAAGAAGCGGTTTTTATGCGCTATGATCTTGCAGTGAGTGAAGCACTGGGGCCCCGAGCGGCCGCCTTGTGTCCCGTTCTCGCGGACACAGACTCCAGTCTCTGATCTGGGTTAAACAGGTTGCAGGGGTTATAGGGTTAGGTTATTAATGCCTGTGTTCTTACTTTCTTATATGTGTGTAGCTTATATGCAGAGCGTCCGTACGTGTTGAATCTATCTGAAGATTCTGTCTTCATTATACTGTATGTACCATTCATGACACATTTAATTTCGTTGCTCATCTGGGCAATAAAAATAAAAGGCATTCTGTTCTGTTCTGTTCGGTAGGCATCATGGAAGATGGGCGCGATTTGCCAGTAAGGCCGATGTTATAGGTGTGCTTGTAATATACATATGTAATATACATATATAATATCTGCAATATACAGCCTAATAACCAACACGTTCGTCGTGTTATAGGCTGTGAGCTTCTATCAGAGATCTTTAACGTGTATATTAGCACAGTGCTGGTTTCTTGCTTCTTCGCCGCTCGTATTCAGTGCAGCTGTACAGTGTTTGCACGCGTTGTTTGTTCATTATTTGCATAACGTCACTGACACAGAATCCTCACTGCTCTGGCGTCAGGGTGATTTCCAGGAGCGCAGGCTGGCGCCAGGGTGCAGGGTTTGGGGCCCGAATGTTCTGCCACTTATTCTTGGGTTCTGTGGCCGTGTGATGTTCGTGTGATCCTGAGGTGTTCTGCCGCTTTCCAAAAATATATAGTTATTTGAAGCGGCATTTAACTTCCCATTTTTAGCTCGCTTTGACTCTGTAACTTTACACAAGCCTGTCAAAACCACCCAGCTGAGCTGGTGCCGTCGTTTTTGTTGTTTTTTGTGTTATATGATAGCAGATCAGCTGAGGGAAATGTCAAGTAAATTCCCCCGAAGAGCAATAATGTAATTTAAAGGGGAACTAGAATCAAATTTTAAAAACTTTTCTGTGGTAGAACAGGGTTGGCAAGTTTGGTCAGGATGTGAGATTCTGTGCACACCTGCACATACACAAATCACCATGTAAATAGTCTTTAGGGTTTGCAAACTGCCCCAACTCTTTTGATGTAGCTGATTTTAGGTTTATAATGGAATAGTACTGATTCGCTGTAAGATTTCTTGCCTGAGCGTGAGAGTCTGAAAGTGTGAGTGTCACACCAGATGCGTGAGAATTGGTCATTCTGGGTAAATTTTATGTTTTAGAAGATGAACATAAAATGTGACTCTAACAGTAAAAAGTTTCTAATCTACTTTAACGAATCAGATGGTAAAGAGTAACGTTTTACGAGGTGGACTGAGTAAAATTGGCAGAACTGAGTGACAGGAAATGCTTGTGATGTTGTCATGTAAACAGTTTAGTTTTGGGATAAATAAGAAATGCTTGCGGAGGCCAGGACCCTGACTGTGACATTTACATCTTCATTACTTAGCAGACGCTTTTATCCTAAGTGACACACAGATGACAGAGCAGGACCAGTCAGGCCCTGGAGCAATTGGGGTTAAGGATCGTGCTCAAGGGCCCAATGGTGACATCACTCTGCCGACCCTGGGATTTAAACCGGCGACCTTCCGATTCATCGCTAGCACTGTGCTCCAACCCGCTGAGCCCCCCAGTGTTGGTGTAAATGATGAATGAGCTCAAATTATAACCCGGTGTTAGTTTACCTGCAGGTCACCTTGTGGCAGCAAACTGTCATGTTGCTGCGTACATAGAAATACTGCTGATACCAGAACAATGCAGGGTTATGGTGCCCTGGGTATGATAAGGGCAGGTGCCTGTCGGGTGCCACCTGCTCCTCTGCCCCAGTGTTTGCTGTAAACAATAGTGCTCTGTGTTTATTACACACAGCGGAATACAGGTGAGTGTTTAAGCTCTTAAAGCCACAACCTTCTGTATTGTTGGCTGTGTCCATCCCCCTACCCTGTGCCTAATGTGGGAAAAATGACAAAGAACAAAAATGGTACAAAGATAGAGCGTAAGGCTCAGTTTAGGATCCCTCTGCAGACAGACAGGCTTGCATGATGTGCCGCGCGAAATCCCGCCCCTCCTCTGCCTGAGCCAATAGCATCGATGAGCACTAATGATGGGCATGTTATTTGTATGCTTTCCGCACACTTAGAGAGACACTCTGGTGGGGCCTCTGGCCATTGTACAGGAGTGTTCAGGTGTGTGTCCTGACAAAAACACTGGTGAAATTCTTTATTGTAGGATGTTATCCCTCTGAGATCACTTTGTAAATTGTTCCTGGTTCTGATGTGGATTTTTAGTTTCCCATCATTCTCCCTCTTTTTCAGAGTTCTGCACATTGTTTAGCCATGCTGAGGTACAGCAGGTGCAAGGCATTGTGGGAGGGGCTTTCACTTTTCCTGCCCCAGTTCTTTCACTGGGCGCCCTGTTGTATGGGAATATCGGCACTGTGGCCATGGTGCTGTCAGGGAGCAGTATCACAAACCTAACGGAGAAATTCAGAGGCAGATTGTGGTGGGACAGTAAGACGGGACTCTTCACCATCACCGATCTGCAGATCCAGGACTCTGGCCAGTATAAAGTGGATAACAGTGATGGAGTGAAGAAAGTTACAGCATATCAGCTGACTGTATACAGTGAGTTCTGCTTCTGGGTGTCTGTATGTGTGTATGAGTATGTGTGCATATCATCAGGGGTGTGTCTGTGTGTGTCAGGGTTGTGGTTAATTAAACCTATAAGACAACATTGTTGTAAACTGAAATAAGATGCGAAACAAATACTACAGCTAAACAAAATCTATGAATATTGCTTCCAAAAATAATTGAAATAACATAAAATAAATGGGAAATACTTCCCATTATTGTTTTCTAATACTATTTTGTTAAAGTAATGATTTATCTGTGCTCCTTTATGGGAATCATTCGAGGAAATGTAATTCAGTTTATTGCCTTTAGATGGCGCCATGCTCTGGGCCTCTTTTGTGCAATGCACTTGAACCACAGAAATGGCCAACGGCACTGCATAGCAACATTTTGTAATAGATAGCTTGAGATGAACACTGTCACAGTCCTAAGCTTCCCGTCTATTTCTAGAAATAAAATTATGAAAAAAAAATTATGTAAAGTCTAAATAGAAATGTATCATTAAAATAAAAAGTAATAAAACCAAATTGAAATAAATTGGATTTCACATGAGGATTGAAAACAATGTGAAAAAAATCTCAACTAAAACATTGGCACGTGCGTGTGTGTGTACACTACCGTTCAAAAGTTTGGGGTCACCCAGACAATTTTGTGTTTTCCATGAAAAGTCACACTTTTATTTACCACATGAGTTGGAAAATGAATAGAAAATATAGTAAAGACATTGGCAAGGTTATAGATAATGATATTTATTTGAAATAATAATTGTTTCCTTCAAACTTTGCTTTCGTCAAAGAATCCTCCATTTGCAGCAATTACAGCATTGCAGACCTTTG